ACCATTTTTGTTTTGGGGTTGTCTGCCTCTAATGCACCTGTTGTTAATTTCATTAACATTGATTAATAACACCCCATGGCACTCACCTTACGCTGATTAAAAACATTTAAAAAGTGTTATTTTATTTTTTTTAAGTAGTATATATAGTATAGCATTTAAATTAAAGACATGCAAAATATTACTTTGTGTGAAACTTCTCAGAGTTGCAGGCCTCCAATGTACATTTGGAACTTTTTTAAAATTTCTTTCATGTTTTTTATGGTATTTTAGATCTCTGATAAATTTGGGGCTAAAAAGATTAATTTAAGCTCTGTTAAAAATTTTAAAAAAACAACCACTTGTCACTTTTTAAATTATTTAAGTTATATTTGACATTCTGTTTACCCAAGAAATTAAAACTAGTCTAATTTAAGGTAGCCTTCATAAAGGGAAGTTTAACTTTAGAATTGATTCATTAGACTAGTAATGTATACCCAACAAACTAGTAACTGATAATGTCAGCAGCTAAACACATTGATCAAATCATTTAGTCAAAACAAAATTAAATAGTCCATAACCAGTGATCACATTTATATCCACTCACATTAAGAGCAACTCACTGCAGACAATCTCAGTGTACTTAATTGCACTATTTATAAAGTTTTTCTTCATAATTATGCTCCTCTTCACGTATAAATACTATCAATAATTGTAAACATTGTCTTTACTTACCTGAGGGCTGCTTTCAGTTGTAAAATCTTTAATATGATGAGTTTGTCTTGAACATGCAAGTTGTGGTGGCCTAATTTACACCCCACCCCCACTGACATGTGGTCACACTCAAAGTGCAGATGGTTTATTTTCTGCATAGAAACACTTTTTTCCCCCCAAGATTACCACATTCAAGTTTCGTATACACTAATCAATTGATCTGTGGTGTTTTCTATACCTAACATAGTGGCTACATGAAACTAATAATACAAAGTAAAGGAAAAGTAAAGCTTTTATCTGTGATACTTTTTCATTTTTTTGCTTTTTAAAAAAATCGAAATTGTTAACAGTTATTTATTGATATCTGTCATTGTTAAACTACTTTCAGTCGTTTTTTTCATATAATCTGTGTTCCCATGTATTCTTCTTACAAATACTTTTAATGCTCAGTGACTGTCTACGTTGTTTGTAAATCCAGTGATCAGCAGTCTTTATGATGTCAAAATTTGAGGTGATGCTAGGTAGAAATAGAAATATTTCTACATTAATAGGGTCCTGCATAGATGACAGATGATTGAGATAAAGTAGATCTGCTTAAGATTCAAACTATCAACTAACAACATAAACGTATTGGTGACGAGTTTACTGTGATCGTAGATGACAGCAACAACAAGTACTTTTCTCATTGACTTTCATCTAATTTTGCATGAAAAATTATGAAAAGCAGAGAACTGCCACCTGTTGGTCTTTTGGTTAAATGTAGGCCCAATACTGGATTAACATTTTGTAACTCCAAAAAGTTAGGCAAAGCTATTTTTAAAAAAAATTTATTTGAAGTTGTTGTCCTGGTAAAGCAGCTTCGTTATTAAAATCACTGTAATCAGCTACATTTGCAGGATTGTCTTGGCTATGTATAAATATCATATACATAATAAATAGTACAATATTATTTCTAAAACTCAGTAGATCAGAGAGGATCTGATTATAATCTATATAATCTATATAAATATATATATATAATCTATATGTTACCCTTAAATGATTCCATAAGAAACAAAAATCACATAAATTCAAGTTACAGAGAACTGAATTTATTATTTGGACTCCCTGTTACAGGCCTGGGCCGGCTGTGTATTTTTGTTGTGTTGTGTCTTTAAGACTCTACAGGTCCTTCCTGATTGGAGAGCTGGTGGCGGCTGATTGGTCCCCTCGTCAGGTGGCTGTTTTTAAAAATACCCCTGCCCAGCAGTTGAGCGGCAGCGACTGACAGCAGCAGACCTGACCTTGGCTTCCAAATCTTGTGCTATTCGTGCGTGGTTCCTCAGATTTGCTGAGCTTTGTATATAGTGTGTAAATTAGTCTTCACTTGTAAATAGTACGTTGTAAATAAACACTGACACCAAAGGGGTGAGCTGCCTTATTATTTTCCTGTCCTGTTTCCTCCTGTTTATTTCAGTTAGGGAGTTAGGTGTAGCGTTTGTCTTTTGTTTGGTTTCTTTGTTTCACATAGGGTTTTAGACAGCACCTCCTCTCCTAACTTAGCTTGTTTTATTTGTTATTTTGGCCTTTGTTCACCCCGGAGTTAAGTTTTCAGTGTAGACAAATAAACCACCGTTCACTTAAGAAATTGGTATTTCTGTGTATGGTTTTGGGGACCAGGGCGAGGTCACTTCCTTTTTAACCCTTATGCTACGTTCCTGTACCCCTAGACTGGAGCGTAACACTCCCTCCCTGGGGTATTCCCGGTTGGTGCCCTCACCAGGGCCCAAGCTCGCCAGGGGGAGGAGATGAACCTCGGGGAGTCATTTTTCAGCCCAATCCTGGCCATGAGTCGGCCCCTAAGGGCCCCAGAACCAAGGCGGGTAACCAATTTCTTTTGACTAGTGTCAAAGTGTGTGTTTCACAACTTCCCGAGGCTGTTCCCCAACAGAAAAGGGCTCTTCTCAAACTCTTTTTGACATTTGGCCTACCCAAGTTTATTCAAACAGATCAAGGTAGAATTCTCATGACCATTGATCAATGTCATGAGAATTCTACCTTTTTGATAGAATTTTGATATTACATGGTTATTACTTTGGTAATTGCATAGTAATAACTTAGAAATTACCGCATTATTACCCTGTTGTTTCCCCCTTGTTATCCTACTATTCCCCTTTATTACCAAGCTGTAAAAGAAAGTGCTACCATGTATAATTTCAATATCCAATAAGCAATCTGTTTAAGGTCTTTCTATACATATTTCTGTATGTTCATTTTATAGTACAAGTAAATTATTATATATCTTAGAGGTTGCTTTAGGTGGCTGATAACCCCGGAGATGAGCAATCCTTAGAATAATTAAATTTATATCAATAATCACATATTGTGTATGCTACCGTTGTATATAGTGTATTATCTTCTTTATTTTTTATTTGTTTGTATTTTTCTTCTGCTATCTGTACACACAAATTTCCCCACCGTGTGACCAATGAAGTCTTATCTCATCTTATCTTATCTTAGAGACTTGATGAGACTGCCGAACACAACCTATCACATGAGACTGCAAACTTATCAGCAAAGTTGTTATTAATATTAGTAATATTATTGCAAGATATATAATACAATAATGATGGTAAGTTTAACAAAAAGTGAAAAATCCAGTTGACTATAAACCCAGATAATTATACAGAAAACCTTTAAAACAGTAAAGAAAACAATGCACTGCACAGCAGCAAAAAGAGCAACAACAATTTTTTTGTACCTTTATTAAATCCTTAAGCATTTAATAATAATGTTTCCCTTGAAATGTATGTAATTCATCTGTACAAAACCTCTATCCATATGACCAGCTGGTGTGCTTGTTCAGTCCAGTTATTTACAATAATATTTGAACATAGTGGTGGCGTAGAAACTTCATTACTAAATTAACTGTAATCAGCCAGCAAGCATAACCTCAGTACTAAAATGGTTACGTATTGCAATATACAATTTTATACAAAACATATATATATATATTATAAGTATAGCATAATATTGTATCTTAGCTCAACAGATCAAAGGAAGAATATAACTACACACACACACACACACACACACACACACACATATATATATATATATATATATATATATATATAGTAAATACAACATTAATTGGAAATTTAAAACCAGAGCCACTTCAGCTGAGAGCAGTACTGCTCAGATTCTTGGTATTTATCTGTTGTTTGATGGCAACACCAAATAATATTTGTAAAGGATGCTGTTTGATTATTCTCTCTGTTCTCTCTACATTTGACTCACTTTGACTGCATCAGCTGTCCTTTCCGTGTTACCATCAGTCACAGTGATAATCAGCTTCTACATCTGATACAGTGTTGTTCATACTACAGCAGCACAGACAGACTAGCAGCTTGTCTATGCATCCTTTTTGCATGAAAAGGAACAAAATCAAGTCCACAAAAGGACAAAGCAGAAACAAGATTGAAATTGGAATGAAATAACAGAATAACTTTATATCTGCTAAAAAATCTAAAATTGGAAAAATCACTGTGGGAAGAATCATGACAAAGTAGTTAAAGAACAACAGAACCAAAGTTCCCAGACTTCTTCGTTTGTCTTCAGTGGGCACTGAGGTGGCAGCAGGCAGGGCTGTGAAAGTCCAGGCTAAGCAGAAGATGGACAGAGGGGCAGGAAGGAGGGCATAAATAATTAAACGTACAAATTCTTTTAAGATTATGGCAAGAGGAACACTGACAATACAAAAAGCCCAGACCAGGACACAGACCACCACAGAACTCCTAGTTTGTCTGAGGCAGTCCAACAGTGGGTAGGCGAAGAAGAAACATCTGTAACACAGGATGCAAACATATTATGATTATCACAGTACAGAAGGGTATGTTTCTGACAATAATGATGCTTTCCAGTAGAAAACAATATTCATAGACATCTAAGTACACAGATGGGTACCTTTCCAAAGCGATGCACATCTTGAAGTAAAGACTGGCCATAGCACATGAGACGTGAATCATAACACAGATGCTTCTTTCCACTCTTGCCACCCAAGCAATCATTATACACATCTGGATTAGATTGGCGATGAGGAGGTTTGTGTAAGAGATGATGGGGACCTTAACTCTTGGCACCTGTAGGAAATACATGTTAAAATTAAATTTCCACTTTATTTCCTCTCCTTCACACACATCTGTTATATCTTTCTTTTTTTACTTTCTTTTTATTATATATTTAT